ATCAATTAAAGAATTTATGTGATTCCTATTTTATGTAGAAAGGTTTATATGTATATTGCTTTGCATACTTCCATTATTGGATATTTAATATAATGGAACAAATTCTGGATATTTTAATTTCTTTCGAGATGATTTTTGAGAAAATATATTAATTGGATACATCTGATATATTCACACATTTCCTTACTAGATAAATTAATGTTTAACAGAATAAAAACGATGAAATTTATAATAATATACAAACAAATTTTTAATATTAGAATATTTGGATGCGCATTATATGTGCACCATCTTCATCAACGAGCCATGAATCTTCACCATTTCCAAACAATGAATCAAATGGTTCTAAGTCGATTTCTTCCATTGCTTTGTTGATTTTTCTCATTTTCTTCTCCGCAATGTATTTAGCCAATGGAGTATGGAAACGATCTGGATGCCATTCACGAGCGAGCTTTCTAAATGCATTCAATGCTGATGATCTGCTGCATTTTGAAGCTAATTCAAGAATTTGGCATGGTGTTTTCATCTTTAACTGAGATATTATTATATTGGAGTCATTAAAGCCTTTGGAACGCTTTAAATCACTCTTTGCGCACAAAATAATCATGCCCGTGGTGATTGTTATTATGCCATTATGTGGAAAAACATACATATTATGAATCACAAATTTATAATTCAAAGTCTCTCTTAGTAATCGATAAAAACTTTTAAAAATTTCCTCGAATTAATGAGATTATTGAGAAAAATGTTTACAGAAATAATTTTTATCGCACAATAATATGTTTACAAATACAAAACAATAAAATACTTCTGAATTAAACAATTTCATTATCAAGAAAATCAACTTGCCAAGATAGATATGATTCAAAGACCATTGGTCCGAAGTGTTTAGCAAAATCTATGAGGCTTTCGCGAAAAGCTAATTGTCTTGGTGTAAATTTTATGAATTTTGGTGGTCTCTTACTTTCCTGCATATAAACGTGTCCTGCAGAGTATTTTCCAGGCCCATCGATTTCAATTACGTCATCCAAAATCAATTGTGGATAGAGATTTTCTAATTTCAGTTTTCTGTAGTCGTGATCTTTGGATTCCTTCGAGCATGCCCAGAATTTAATATGCATGTTTCCTTCTATGTGTCTTGTGACGTTGACCAAAGGAATAAACGCTTGTTTTGGAGCTCTTTTAGTACAAATTCTAAAAACATTAGTAGGACCATTTTCACTGAGGAATACTGGTTTCTTAGGGTATTTGATCCAGCTTTCTGGTTTACGAGTTCCTCCAAAAATCCTAATTCTATGTTGAATGCTATCAACTGAAACAAGTTCTAAATATGCTGGTGGCTTCCTCAAAGCATCGGCCTTTTGATCATATTCTAATGAGATGTAGAGTGTATGATCACGCAAATGCCAGTCTCTCATGACATCTCTTGGAATTGTTGGTAATATTTTGAAATAAAGTCTAGGTGGTTTGCTTTTATTGACAACTCCTGTTAGATCAACCGGAATTTCGACATCTGGCTTGAGATCTAATAGTTTAATTTTTCCTTGGTGAATAATTTTGTCATCTAATAAAACATTTTGTTCCATTATACGAAATAATAAACTTGATGGCCGAAGATAGGAGATTGAGATTGGATGCCTCTCATCTTTATCTATTTCTGGTTGACTTGTGTTATATTTTCTTGGTAGACTTCTATTAACAAGAAATGCTGTTTTACTTGAAAAAGCATATACATCTATATATACATTTAAGTTTGGTTTTAGATTTTCTCCATATAAAATGTAACAAGTGAATGCCATAATATAAAAAAGTGACAATCATCATAACTTAGACGTTAAGAATGAAAACAGGAAAAACCACTCTTCATATTGCAGCAGAATTTATTAGAATAGAAGTACCAGAGATTCTACTTCTTCCTCTGTCACATAATGCAAATATCAATAAGAGAGTAGAAAAAAAAGAAGAAACAACGAATTTTCTCTTTTGACGCAGATTTATAGATACGCAAATATCATGGACTGATAATTTATCGGGCTGAGAAAGAATAAGGTCTATCACGTCATGATTGGTCAGCAATTTAAAATATTCATTTACTGAATAATCTTTGATTTGAAGAACGATCAAAATCTTTGATTTTGGCAAATAGAAACCAAATGTTTAAGCAAGTGTATTGTCATGTCAATTAGTAGCCAAGTAGCAAAGTGTCCAATAAGCAAATTGAAATCGAGATTTTCATCGTTTTTGACAAGCAAAAAAATGTTTATTGATGCGAATAAACTCATTGAAACAAGTTCCGGAGCCGGATCTGAAGACGTGCGTACTGTTTCAAAGTCAGAATCATGGCTTTTCTTCTGGCTTGGAAATGTTTCTCTTCTAGTTTTTAATATCGCAATCAATGCAATTGACATTTATGCTATAATTACAAATGATAAAAATATAGGAAATGATTTAAATCGTGCTTACAACATCCCTTCATCAATCGCAGCGTTAATTTTGTGTTTTGTCACAATTCGAAATCATAAAAGATCATTTATCATCAGTATTACATCATTACTCATCATTGTAAGTGTAATGGCTGCATCTATGATAATCAAAATGCCAGCAAAAATAGTTTATTACATTTCAGTTGTTTCTATTGGCTTAAGTGGTGTTTTTTCAGCAATTATATTGTCCAGTTCGTTCGCGTTAGCTACACAATTTGCTCCTGAATCATCTACTTCTGTTTCCTCAGGAAATGGATTATGTGGCGTCCTTGCAGCAGCTCTTAGAATTACTACTAAGGCAGTATTCTCTTCCGAATCATCGTTAAAATACTCATCATTTTGTTACTTTATTTTAACGGCAATAATTATTTTGGCTACTTTAATTTATTTCATCAAAAAAGTGAATCAGCCATCGATTTCAAGTAAATTTATATTTCCAGCAGAAACAGTAGACATCAAATCTTTCCTACGCTCATTAAAAGGAACATTTAAACACATAAGTTTGTTATGGATAGGTTGTGTCCTTGATTTCATGATCACATTGACTATTTTCCCAGGTTATGTTTGTGCTGGACCAGAAGGAGCTTTGAAATCATGGAATCCAGTTTGTATTACGACGTTTTTCTGTATTTTTGATTGGCTTGGCCGTTGGTTGCCATCAAAGTTCTTATGGCCATCTCTGAACTTAACAATCTTCCCTATTTTACTTCGTTTGCTATTTTTCCCTATCGAAATCATTTCTCTTCAGAAAGTCTTGAATCTTGGCGAGCCATGGTTCACATTATTCATGCAAATACCATTTGCAATAACAAATGGATACTTTGGTACAACAGTAATGATTTATGCCTCAATTCATCCGAAATTAACTGATGAACAGAAGAAAACAGCAGGATTCATGATGTCTTTTGCTATTAATTTTGGAATTATCATTGCTATGTTCTTGACATATGCAATGCCAATACCAAAGGCTTAATTTTGTATAATATTTTTTTTTATAGTTTAATTTTTAGTTTTAATAAAGTATACTAGGTCTATTGTCACATAAAAACTTGCCATGTTCTTGGCATATGCAATGCCATCACCAAGGGCGTAAATTTTGTAAAATTTTATTTATTAATGTCTAATTTTTAGTTTTAATAAGTATAATATGTCTATTATAGCATGCAAACATATTATTTATGCATTTTAAAGCTGAACCGAAGATATTTTCACAAACCAAATTTGTTTTTTTAACTAAGATTGCCTTATAGATACCTTATATATGGATATTATTAAAAACTGAGCTAATGCAGGTATTTTCCCTACGAATATCATCGAACTTTTTTTTCATCAAAACAGTTCAATTTTGAATAACAGTTTGAATAGTTCTCAAAATCTATTTTAGTATATCTCATTGTTTGTATGATATCATTAGTGAATTCGACATTTTCGAATAAACGATCTCTCAAATTCAATTATCTGAAATTTGAGAATCGTAAAATACAATATTGATGTATGTTATTGTACTAACGATAAGAATCAAGATTCATAAAAATTCATTGAGAAGAAAATTTTCGTTCATTTTTAATGAAAAACAATGATGAGGCTGCAAAAGATGAAGTGCCAAAAGAGACAGAAGAAGAGGTGAAGAAAGATCAACCACAAGAAAAGCATGCAGCAGAGCATTACAGATTAGCTGGTCGACCGCCATTAATTACAGTTTTAGTTTTATCTATCGGACCAATTGTTTCTCAGCTTGCTAGCGCGTTGTATGGTATATTAGATACAATATGGATCTCAAAATCTGTCGGTGAAATCGGTATGACTGCAATTTCAGCTTATACTGCATTCGATAACATTGGTCGAGCGTTCGGTTTCTTGACAAGTGTCGCTGGAAGCTCACAAATTAGTGCATTATTCGGAAAAGGCCAAGAAGAAGAGGCTTCTCAAGTTATGTGTGATTTAATCCGCGTTTGCATAATTTCCGGTATTATAGTACCTGCCATTCTTGCACCACTAGTTAAACATGGTGTAAGATGGTTTGGAGCTGACGAAGAAGTCGTAGAACTAGGTTTCAAATACATGTTTCCTCTATTGATGTGTACAGTTTTCACCTGCTTTTTCGTCACATCAGGAGGTTTCCTTCAAGGAGAAGGTCGTTCTTTACTGTTCGGCGTCATCCAAGTCGTTTCATTGCTCGTAAATATGGTTATTCTTGATCCTCTCTTCCTTTTGGCCTTCAAATGGGGATTGGCAGGTGCTGCATGGGCTAGAATTATTACTGAAGCTGTTCCAGGATTACTCGTTTTTACATTATTTTTCATGGGAAAATTCGGTGTAAAACCGAAAGTATCGCAACTCTTCAAGAAATTCAACAAAAATACATTACCATCACTCAAAGTTGGCCTATCCCAACTTGTTTCCAATCTTTCAGTATCAATTCCCGGAATTATCGTAAGAAAACTGATTGGTAGTGCTGCACATAACGGTATACACTCATTTAACGACGTTATGGCTGGCTACAATGTTGTTTTCAGATACGCTCAAATAACGAACAACGCAATGATCGGATTTACCATGGGATACTTACCAGCAGCATCATATTCATATGCTGCAAAGAATTTTAAGCGATGGCTACGCTTAACTCTCCATTTGAATTGGATTAATTTCTTATGGGGAACAATTACAGCTACATTGAGTTGGGCAATACCCGCACAGATATCTTTGATATTTGCTAAGGGTGATGGATACTTAAGATGGGCTTCAGAGATGCTACAAGTAGGAAATGCTCTTGGTTTTGTTGTTTTTGGCCGATTTAACTTCCCTGCGATGCTACAATCCTTGCAATTAGGTATAACATCAACGCTGTTATCATTAGCCTCTCAGTTAGTTTCTATTATTGTTTTTGCGTTAATTTTGTATTATACACACAAAACTAACCCAACAACAACAGTGTGGTGTTACGGTTTATCATATGCTTTTGGCCTGATCCTTGGTGGCATAATTATATTGAATCCTGTTCGAAAAATGATGAAAGGCGAAGATTTCAGAAAACCAAAGGAAGAAGAGCCAAAGAAAGAAGAGAAAGCGATTGATAATGAAGAAGAAGCAGACACTTCATCCAGTAATCCTGCTGGTGATGGAACTGAAATTGCCGAATTATAATTTTTGTTTTTTTTATTATAAAATCTATTATCTTTCATTTAAAATACTTGTTTTATACTAAAATTGTATCCAAGTCAGAAGAAAATTATTAAAAATTTGTGGAAAGTAAATGAATCTAAAGGTCACGAAGTCAAAAATTTACACCTGAGCAAAGCTTACAATGTCGACGACGAGATTAAACATATCATGCGGTCAGATGTTGTCATCTTGCAGAAACCAGGTTGGTGTGTGGGTCTCCCATGGTGTGTCAAGCACATGGCATCATGTAGGATGGCGATAGATGCAAAAGGAAAGATCCAAGCAAGTATGACAGTGGTGGACTTTGTCAAGGAAAGAAGTTCATGATTGCGTCAACATGGAACGTATCGGAAGAGTCGTTCGACGATCCAAACCAGTTCTTCGGAGGCAGAACCGCTGAAGGAATTCTGTGGCTTTTCCAGCTACTTTCCAGGAGGTAATCAAAGCAATGGACTATGGAAAGTACGTACAGCTTTTTCACAGCTACATTGATGCTGTATTTGCATAAAAGTTAATAAAAAATGATAATATTTCAATTAAGTTCTCTAATATGTTGTTTTAATTATGAATATGGTAGATCAATAGAATTTATTAAAATATGAACAGTAATTTTGATTCATTTAAATAATAAATGAAATCCATTTCAAATGATTCTCTTCTTCAATCAGAAAATAACGATCTAAGAGCCCAAGTAGCTGATTTAGAAGGGAAACTGACAAAGATTATGACTGAAAAAAACATGTCTTCGGCAGATATATCATCAATTTTTCGCGATCAACACGATTTAGCAGAATTAAAAGCTAAATTACGAGAATCTCAACTTGAGAGTTCGAAATACCGTGCAATTTTAGATGCTCAAGAGTCCTCAATTCTAAATTCAATTACTGTTGACGATTCTCTTAAGAGTCAAATCTTAGATACTAAAAATCAGTTATCATTAGAGTATATGCAAAAGGAAAAAGAACAATTACAAGAGATATCTATGGCACAACTTGAAAATTCAAAATTACGAAACCAATTATGCACATCAGAAGCAAAGAATGCCGAACAACTTTTACGTATCAAGGAACTAGAATCTAAATTAGGAGAGATTGATGGCAATGACCAATATAACGGTGCAGTAAATAAACGATTACAAGGATCCATTGGAGATCTCCAAGCAAGATATGAGCAATTACAAGCTAAATACCAAGATTCTCTAAAAACTATTGAAAAAATGAAAGCACAAAATAAACAAGAACAAGAATCTCTTAAAAAACAAATACAACAACTCACAGAGCAAGTAAACGCATATAAGCAAAAAGTTGCAACAGATTCTGTTCAAATTACAAAATTAGATACCCAATTAACTACAGCTAAATCTCAGATCGCCAGATGCGAACAATTAATTTCGCAATTTGAGACTAATAAGCAAAGCGATCAGCAGGAGCATCAGCAGCAAATTGTTCGCTTGAAAAACGAAATTAATGATTTGAAAAACGCCAATAATCAACTATCATTTGAAAAACAGACGATGACACAAAAGAGTGACTCTATTAAAACAAATTTGATGTCATTGCAGCAAGAAAATCAGATCCTAACAAAGAAAAATCAAGATCTGACAGAATTAGTCAACAAAAACAAAATTGATCTTCAAAACTATCTACAAAAGAACAAAGAATTGCAATCATCTATATTAAATTGTCAACAAGAGAATGATTCCCTTAAAAATCATAATGCTGATCTCCAAAACATCATAAACCAAATCAAAAATGATAATCAATCATTGCTGCAAAAATACAAAGAAATACAAACAAAATATCAAACTCTTCAGATTAATTTTGAAGAACATCAGAAAGATAAGATCAAAATTCAAAGTAAATTAGATGAAATGGTCATTGAAAACGAGAATCAAATAAGGAAATCAACCATACAAAGCAATGCCATGGAACAATCTTTGACAAGTGTAAAAACAGAAAATCAAAAATTATTTGAACAAAATCAAAAGAAAGATGAACGTCTAAGAGATCTTGAAAATAATTTAGACTTAGAAATAAAAGAAAAACAGAATTTAACTAAAGATATTTCTAATATTCAAGGTAAATTTAATAAATTACTTCAACTTTTGAATGATGAAAAATCTAAAGTTGTTAAACTTGAAAGTCAAAATACATCTCTAAAATCGGAATTAAATTCCAAGAATTTTGATCCTGAAAAAGATGAAATGCGAAAAGAACTTGAATCTACAAGAAAAGAAAACATAAAACTCCAAAACGATATTGGATCAATACAACAGCGTATTGAACAAGAAAAGTTAATTACACTGCAATTATCAAAGCAATTAGAAGCTTCTCAACAAAATGTTTTGAATTTAACGAAACAAAAATATCAACACAACAAATTTGATCCAGAATCAGCCAAATATATCTCTAATAAGATTGCAATCAAATTTAAACATTTTTGTAAGATGTTTATTGTTAGGATTGCATTGCTTGAGACTCACATTCAAGTTTTATCTAACTCAATTACAAAATTACAAGTTTTATCACAAAGTTTTCCAAATCGTCAACAAGATAAAATCAACATAGCAATTCATCAAGAAATTATATCTATTCTTATAAAGAAAGCCGCACGAGCATACAAAATACACAAAAATGAAGTTCCATCTGCAGCTTTGTTAGTATCAAATGAAGAAATTCGCAATGAATTCTTTTCAAAACTTGTTCGACATCACCATTATTGCAATCATACTGATGAAGATGTACAACGCGTTTTGAACTCGGTTTCTCTCTACAAATTCTGAAATCCTTATCATTATGTTATTGCTAATTGTTCATTTCGATCTCTTCATTTCAACCATTCTTCTTCTGATAATTAAAGGTGCGCTTACACCCATCTGACTTTATTTCAGATTGCCAACTCCATGTCATATTGACGTATGTGTGCTCTTAAAATAAGTTTATTTTACCAGTTTCTATTCTATAATAGATCGAATCTGCAAATCTTCTTACATTTTTATCAAAGCTTCTTTTTATTTTATCGATTTCGAACATATTTTGAAATATAATTATGTTTTTCTGTATATAGGTGTAATTCCTGTCAGCAAGATTCATTTGAATTTCATCCATGCCAAAAATATTTGATAAAAAAAATTTAAACATGGACAAAATATTTTTCTGTGAAGCTTGCAAGCTGATTATTTCTTTGTGTGCTTGGAATCAAGTAACAGACTAAATAGACTAGTATGCATATATCAATTTCGGGAATCATTACAAAATCAAAATTCATTCTTTCAATGGCAAAAAAAAGTGCAATGGCCATCCATCAGTTATATATTATATATATATTTTTATTCAGTAACGAGATGAAGATGTAAAAGAAAGTAAATATGTTAAATGTAAGACTTTTTTAATATAAATATTGATAAAATTATTTTCTTCATCATCTTTTTCTATTAATTTGTCTGTTGTGGGAATAGGCTTCAACCAGGGACAATCATCTATAAATGTGTACTTAAATATGGGTGATGTGTATGTTGAATTAATGGAATCTGTAGTTGATTTTTCAAATGTTATTGAATAAGATTGAGCTATAAAAATGTAATCAATTTCATTTTTTAGAATACAACAATAAGTCATGAATACATCAGTTTGATAAGAATAAATCAGATAGCCAGTATACAGGCTTTTACACTCTAAATAATTGCATAAATTAACTTTAAATTTTGAACCAGAGTAAGATTGATGGATATTAAAAGCACTTGATGATTGATTGTTTTCAACAACATTGACACAAGTGATGTATGAATCACCGATAGCCCAACTAACTAAATAACCTCCAGTATCACGTTTGACTCTATTTTGTGTAAGATTGCATTCAATCATGATACAAAAGCCATAATTCATGGAAGTTAAAACTCTGCTTTGTCCTGAATCTCCGCAATTGTAAATTGTAGTTGCATTCGCATGATTTTTGTATTTGGCAATTGCTGATGCGCATATTGAAAACGCTGGCCCAGTCAAACCTGTGGTTGTTGAGTTGATATATGAATTTTTTGTTTGAACAAATTCTCCTTGTTTACCAAAGTAGAGAGAACCACCATCTTCTGTTGAAGAGCAGGATTCGAAATTATTTGTTGTTGTAAGTGTTTTTACATCATCTTTACTTGTTGAAATACTTACTGCACCGTTTGGATGTAATTCAACAAAATTACAATTTGAAATGAAATATTTTAAGTTATCTTTCTTTGAAATTACACCATTATTATTGACATAATCATCATCGTATGTTGATCCTGGGAAGATATCTTCCCAGGATCCTGAAATAAAAAAATGACAAAATTGTCAACTTGACAGATTCAATCAATACGATGTTTGTCACTTTTACATTAGGCAAAGTTACAATTGATTGAAGAAATAATAAACTACAAATATCAAACTACCTTCTTTAGAAATATGTTTAACAAAAATTTTTGTCTAATTGGATTTGAAGATATCTCTATTTCTCTTGAGATGAGTTGAAACTTTCCACGTTTTCCTTTATAATCGGAAAATCATGATCAATAGTATCATAATTGTAAGATAGTCATAAGCAAACATTACATTTGGATGTTTTGGTAAACAAAACTCATTTAAATCATATCTTTGAGAGCAATGATTTAAGAACTCAAACTTTGCATTGAGCTTTTTTCCACTTTCTACTGCTTCTGAAAATGTTGAATGGACTCTATCACAATGATCTTCCTCTTCAGCATTTGAATCGTCTTTGAAAGTTGCCTCATGAATTAAAATATCTGTTGATTTGAATTCTTTCTCCATATCTTCATAAAAAGCATTTCTATCACCGCTCATAACCAATTTGTATTTCGAATCAAAGGTTATTTCGCAGGCCATTGAAGTTCCTCTAAAATCATGATGAACAGGAGTACTTCTTAATTGGATGTTTCCATATTTAAAAACGTCATTTCGATTTTTGAAATCTGCTTTGAAATAATCTTCACCATATAATGGTTCTTTTACAATTGTTCTTCCATGCGTGATGTGATCGCATAAAACAGTTAATCTTCTATCAGTAACTTTAAGTCTTTCTTCCATTATTACTGCAAGACCTAAAGAATGATCTGAATGAAAGTGAGAAATCCAAACGCAGAATAGATTCTTCAAGATGTGATTTGTTCCTTCAACACCAAATAATCTTCTCATCTGTCCAACACTGTTTACTCCACAGTCAAGTATCATGTAGCCTTCCTTGCAATGAACAAGAACTGATTGAACATTTCTTGTTCTTGTAGGGAATTTCGATCCACTTCCTAAGAATGTTAATGCAAAAGTTTTTGTTTGAGGAAGATTGATAAAATCATTTGGTTCTTTTTCTATGAATTTTGTGGTTTGTAACTTATATGATGGATATACTTTGATGCTGCATTCTTGATGCATTCCTGTAAAATTTTTCGGAATAACTTTATCCGGATTCGAAATAACAAAATCAGACATGAAGTTTGGTTTGATTGATTTGTAGTATTGATCTGCTTCTGCATATGTAATTCTGTTACTCAATGGGAAGCATATATTTGTTTTGTTCTTTGAGAATTTATCATAATAATTTGGATCATTAATTATGTTCATTGGTGTAAAATGAAATATTGTTTCATACTCTGATAAATCTGGAATTAAAGTTAAATCTGAAATATCAATATGCATAAATAAAAAGCATCTTTCCGATCTTCCTTGGGCATCCTACAACATCTGATGGTTTGATTACTCTTCCATCTTCTAATGTAACTGTTTCACCATTTGTTAATTTTCCAAATAATGGACCTGGATGGATTTTCAATTCTTTAGCCTTTTTGATATCAAATTGGCCTGGCGCGTCTTTTATTGAAACACCATAAGCAGTTGATTTGCTCAATTCTATTGGTGTTATTGCTATGTTCTCGTCTGCAAAGGAAAATGAAGAAACTTTTTTGTAATCAAAAGAATCCATGACTCCATAAAATAAGCATTTATATGCAGTCTTGGGCATCGTTGCATACATTTCATTGCCTTTGGGGATATAGAACTGAATGGTTGATGTTAAAAATCCACCCATTTGATCTTGATTTGTTGTTAATGCAAAAAATTGTTTTATCCTCTCAATTTTGAAACCATTCAAAGCGATTCTAGGAAGCTCTGCAGGGATTCCAAAAAGGTAAGAATCAGAGTCTATTGTTAAAAGAACACTTGGATGCGAATCTGGTGTTAATCCAGAAACTATAGTAATATCAACTTTCATTACTTATGAAAAAATGAAATCAAACTTTTTTCTCAGAAAAAATTGAAAAAAAAAATTGAATGTCCATCAACTTTTTTTCTTGAATTTTACCTTTCGATCATCAAACTCAATCATCCAAAAAATCTTGATATGTAACCGAAGTTGTGGAAAAAAAATAATTGCATACAGTAATCATACAAAGATGAAAAGTTTCATAATCTTTAGATTATATTCTCAAACAGTCTATCTGATTCAGCACACATGATAATTCGTGTAATATGATAGTTGTGTCATTTGTCCCAATACCATTCTTTAAGATAAATTTCAAAATATTAAATAACAAATACATTTAAACTATGAAACAATGAAAGCAGATGCTTTCCTTTTGAAATCTGACGGAAATATTTATAAAATGCAAAGTTATTGATATCGAATTTTATTGATAGCAGATTTATTAGAATTACAGATGTGAATGGTGGTTTCAAACTCAATAATAAAGAATTTTATTTCATAGTCAAAAAAATTTAATGCTTCTTTGGAGATAATGCCTTCTTTGCCTTCTTCTCAACAAATTTTACGATATCCTCATCAGAATCTTCATTTTCAGGCTTCTTTTCTTCTGGCTTCTTTACTGGCTCAGGCTTCTTCTCTTCTGGCTTTTTCTCCTCTGGTTTCTCTTCTTCCTTCTTTTCAGCTGGCTGGAGAACATCCTTAATCCACTTACGGTCGAACTTCTCAGCGAATTGCTCGAGTGTTTGGCGATCTGGATCTAAACCATCGTATTCAATTCCATGCTGTTGAAGGAATTTAGCAACAGCATGCTGATTAGCTCTGATAGCGTAGTGCATAGCGCATAAACCATTGCTAGAAACTGAATTAATATCAGCTCCTAACTCAAGGATGGATTCGATAAATTGAATATGACCGCGGAAAGCTGCAATATGAAGAGCATTCTTGCCTTCTTGTATCTTGTCTTCGAATGATGCACCAGCTTTGATAAGCTGTTCAACGCATTCTGATCGTCCGCAATAAGCAGCCCAATGAAGTGCTGAGTAGCCGAATGGATTCTTTTTGTTGACATTAGCACCTTTTTCGATTAAATATTGGCATGTTTCGTCAGCGCCGGATGCTGCAGCGATCATTAATAATGTGTGAACTTGATTTGTTGGAGATTTGATTGAAGCATCAGCACTAACTTGTGAAGGAACTAATTTGGCGAGTTCTTCTACGTTGTTGAATTGAGAATAAACCCAAGCCTTTTCGATAAGTTCTGTTGACATAACTTTCTCAATAAACGTTTACAAAATCTCACCTCTTTCACTTTATATTATTAACGAGATATTTATGTTAGATGTTTGATGGAAAGTCTATTCATAAAAGAAGAACCTCCAAATTCTAATTGAAAGTGATGAAATTCGAGGAAATATGATTTATAAAGAATTTAACTAATGATCTATATTGTAAACCTTGAATCAATGAAATTTAAAAATCTCTTGAATGAAGATTCCTGAATTTAAAGTAGAAATATTTCGAAATTAAGTTATTCATTAGAGAATAAGGACGAGTATTCAGTAAAGAGATTTCAACAAGATTTTTGGAAGATTTTGATTAATTTTTATTCATAAATTTGATATTAGATATGAAATTCAAAAACAGAAATGTTGTATTTTAAAAAAGTATGTTAAGATTATAATATATAGCTAGGTATATATCGTAAAATTTTTACTCCTAGGCAATATGGAAAAAGATTTTACTCTTCAGCGTCAACCTTCTTCTTTCCGTGGAGCCAGTCGGAGTTCTTGACGAATGGGTGTTCCTCGAATGCGCGGTCCTCCCATTGGTCTGGTGTAAGGAACTTGAATGTTTCTTCCATGGCCTTGTATGTGGCGACAAGGAAGTTGAATGTTGTCTTGGTGTGGCCAAGAGATGATGTGAAGAGATCCTTGAAGCCAGCCATTGTAAGGAGCTTCTTAGCGGCTGTACCAGCGACAATTCCGGAACCACGTGGAGCTGGGATTAAGCGCATACGGATGGAACCGCACTTGCCTGTAACTGTGTTTGGAACTGTGTGTGGAAGACCGATCTTGTTGCCCCAATAGCCACCGCGGACAGGAAGAATGGAAAGCTTGGCGTAGATTGTGGCGCCCTTGATAGCGTTGGCAACTTCAGCAGCTGTCTTGATACCAAGGCCAATGTGACCCTTGCCATCACCGACAGCGGCAATAGCTTTAAAGCGGGTACGCTGACCAGCACGTGTTTGCTTCTGAACTGGCATGATCTTCATGATCTCGTCCTTGAGATCCTCACCAAGGAGATGCTCAACAATTTCGGCCTCCTTGATTGGGATAGCGTGATAGAAAATTTCCTCGATGGATTTAATCTTGCCGGACTTGACAAGACGGCCAAGCTTTGTGCGTGGCTGCCATCCGCCCTTCTGCTGACCGCGTGGAGCACGTGGACCGCGTGGGCCGCGTCCTTCGCGACGGCCACGCATCTCACCACGCAATTCACGCTCCTGGTTCTGGGGTTGTACTTGTTCGCCTGTAACAGGTTGCTCAGACATTGAACAAAAGGGTTCGGCCACACTTCTCAATCAGAGCGGTTGAATGTCACTTTTGGTAATTGGACGTTATGAGCTAATTTAATTAAAATTATATTAATTATTGTAAGTCAAAGAGAATTGTGGAAAAATTATGTCCCCTTCAAAATTCCGAATCAAGAAATATAAATTAAAAAATGTAGAAGATATTGGTTATTTTTAGTTTTTTGAATATTTTTTGGAAAATCTAAATACAGGAAATATTAATTTAATAGATGATTAGTGATAAACTTTACAGAAAACTTCCTCAATAGAGAAATTTTGGATTTTCATAAAATATTAAGTTAGAGAATTCAAATTGGAATAATCAACTTTGTTGTAAATAGAAATTCATCAAAAGTGACACCTCAGAAAAGCTAAAATATTGAATTTTTGGAACTTTTGATAGAGCACGTTTTTAAATATTAATTAAAGTAAATGTATATTTTGTAAAGATTCTTTTTAATAAAAAAATAGAATTTTGAAGAAGAACACAAAATCTTCTGAAAAATAATATCACATAAACTCATATTATTTTCTAATATATAACTATTTTATATAAAAATCAAATTCAATGATCTTAAAAGCGAAGGATAAACCTCAAAATTTACGAATATAATGAGTGGGAATATAATGCTTATCTATCATAAAACCATATGAAATATCAATTTTTGCTTGTTGCATGCTAAGATCAGTCATAATGTAAACCTCTCAATTTTATTGTCGTGGGAAGTATCTCAATTCCTTCAAAAAAATTGAAAAACTATTTAATTTTAAAAATATAATACTTTTAATTAATTAATTAATTGGAGATATTTTTTAAAAAATCACTTTTGATAATACTTTTGAGAACTTTAATTAAAAAAATATATTCAAAAATATCCAGGATATCAAGAGGGAATTGTTCCTTATGAGGTATATAGTTATGATGTATATACCTCATAAGGAACAATTCCCTCCTTAAAACGAGAAAACTTGTTCGAAATTGTTTATCATTTCGAACAAGTTTTCTCGTTTTTAATAAGAAACTAAAGGCTATGAGGCACTGATTATATATTAGTGCTCACAGCCTTTAGTTTCTAATAGATAGCTGGGAAACTTTCTCCAAATGATAAGTTATTCAGAGAAAGTTTCCCAGCTATCAAGAGGGAATTGTTCCTTATGAGGTATATAGTTATGATGTATACCTCATAAGGAACAATTCCCTCCTTAAAATCGTAGACATTTTTATACTTATTAATCACCATTCCAAAATCATATTCCTCTGAAAAGTTATTTTATTAAAAATTTAGAATTTTAATAAATATAGAGTTTGAATTTCATACAATACCTATATATTTTCAATAATGGAATTTGAAAACCATTCTCAAAAGTTCTCAGAAAACCTTTTTTCATTAATTTTAAGAAATCTGAGTATTAAATTAAGTGATAAATTCGTTTGACACTACTTTAATTTTTAAATTCAAAAAATTATATGTGCTTCTTAAAATGACTCAAAAAAATTTTATTGTAAAATAATATATAATATTAAAAATCCCACAACATTTTTTTACTTTACATAATCGTACTTCCTCGACGATTAATTTTCACTCAATTTCTATCGTTGACCGAACTTAGCATGCAACAATTCTTCTTGCGACCAAAGATTTGAATAAAAGTTCAAAAAATAAGATAGCTTAAAAAATAATATACGGTAGTGTTTACTAATAGATGAATAGTATATAAATTCTATTAAAATGGATTTGATCCAAAAAAATATAAAACCAAAAATAATTGTTATAATTTAAATGAAGAAGTAATTTAAAACGATTTTATTTATGATCAAATTTTATATATTTTTTTGGATCAAATCCATTTTAATAGAATTTATATACTATTCATCTATTAGTAAACACTACCGTATATTATTTTTTAAGCTATCTTATTTTTTGAACTTTATTCAAATCTTTGGTCGCAAGAAGAATTGCATGATAAATAAAAACATTTAATCAAAGTCAATTTTATTTTTCATATTCAAATGGACTGAGTGTTAACATTTAACATTTTTTGCTAATTGTCGTCAAAAATTAGGCGTAAAGCAAAAATTGATATTTCATATGGTTTTATGATAGATAAGCATTATATTCCCACTCATTATATTCGTAAATTTTGAGGTTTATCCTTCGCTTTTAAGATCATTGAATTTGATTTTTATATAAAATAGTTAGATATTAGAAAATAATATGAGTTTATGTGATATTATTTTTCAGAAGATTTCATTCTATATGCCTATGAAAAGTACTCTCAAAACTAACTTTTTCCTAATTATAATTAAATCTAGAATATTGTATTATGCTTAGTATTATTTCATTTTTCTCATTCAATTTAGAATTTACAAATGTCAAAAAAATTGAGAGCTGTCACTTTTGATGAATTTTTGTTTATTACAACTTCTTCTTTGCGGAAGAATTTATGTCGATCGATGTGACTTCATATGGGTGTTTATGATTGATTTGAAATTCAATAAAATTTAAGGGTGCACCCGTATGTACGTTTATTTGAGAGGAGGAGGATTACCCTCTCAATTTTGAGGGATTCGTTAGTTTATTTTCTCGATGAATATACAATAAAATTTGATTTTTACCTATGGCATTCCAAACGGGAACCGCGGTTGGTTACCATGGATTTCCGTCACCGGTCACATTTTAAAGATTTTTAAAGCCTTATAAAAATATGCTTTGTAAATCATTTTTTGTAAATCGGCAAAAATTTGGTAATTTTCTTCAACTAATAAATCTGCGAATAGCATTTATAATACAAGAACAATCTTTTAAAATGCGTTTGATTCATTTTTGTATAATTTCATATAGGCACATATATTCTTCCGGGACTTTCCGTGATTTTACCGTAAAATCATTAGTTTACACCAATTTTTCCGTATTTTGAATAGTTTACTGCACTTTTTCCGTAAAATTGAGTTACGGGAATCCGCAAAATTTCCGGACCTCATTTTTCATAGAATATAATAATAATATTTGATAAAAAGATATATTATTTATATTTTTGATTTTTGAATTACGGAAAAAGTGAATTGTTAACTTGATTTTTTTATATGGTTAATTTTTCAAATGATATTATGAAGATCTAAAATATTAAAAGTAAAAAATTGAATTACGGAAAAAGTGAGGTCAAAAGTGAAATAAATTTGCAGAACAATTTTCATTGAAATAAGACATTGAGTATCACACTTTAGTGAATCAACATCTATAAGAATGAAGTGTTTTGAAGCTGAAATAATATTGAATAGAAATTAATTTTTTCTGAAATTTTGAATGAAATTATGGGAAATAAAAAAATTACTAAATATTGTATTCATACAAATATATTATTTTAAAGGAAAAATAGATGCTGATAGAAACGATGAAAAATTTTGAAAACTTTACAATTAATTTATGTTCGTTAACCACAGAGCTTGCAATCCAAAGCTCACGTTAGACTACAAGAGTCATGAAGTCTCATACTAAGGGATATCCAACATATATTTTAATAATCTAATGTTTGTGACAAATATTCAACATAAAATTAAGTTTTCGTTTCGTTACAAGGCATTCATACTTTGGAGATATCATATTTAATGTACAGAAAAGTTAATATTAAACAATACATGCTAAAGAATTAATAAATAAGATAATAAAATAAATTTATACGTAATTACTTTCATTTAATATGCTTTATGCTGTATAATATTGATTAAGAGGCATTAGAAGGTTCCATAGTCTGCTTTTATAGGCAAGATTTTTGATAAAAATTTAAAATTTTGAAAAATGATGAGAAAAGGAAAAAAAAGGTAAATGAGAGCAAGAGGAGGGAAAAAAAAAGAAAAAGAAAAGAAAGGGAAGGGAAAAATAAAAGAAAGAAGGACATATAAAAATTTAGATGCGCATTATTAATGCCGAGGCGGCTTGCCGCCGAGGCGCGATTTTTTTAGGCCTCTACGGTAACCCGGCAATGTTTTTTTAAATCTTGTACAGCCCTATTTTTACCTTATCAATATACTTCATATAATATACACATAGGGTTGTTAGATTCCCGACGATAGGTGTCTTGGAAGATTTGCCTGGTGTCATCATAGTGTCTTTCAATCAAAAATTTTATTTTGGAGTTAGTTTTATTGATTTTTCAATAAAAAACATTTCTAAAACAAGAAAATAAAACGATAAAATATTTATATTTTATATAAGGATCTTATATATTTAAAATAAATATCATTTTATTTTTTTCATTGGTGTCTGTCAAACCATAATACACTATTCAAAAATTCAATGTGTCTTGCGGTTTCAAAAGACACCTTCAAATTGAACGATAGCACAGACACTATTGAATTTTACCCATTGTATTTAGTTTTTACCCTTTTATTTTTAAGAATTAATGACTGAAACAGCCGTTTTGCTATGACCTCAATCACTTTTATTTATTATTTTAAATATTATTTAATTTTATTATTTGAATAGGCCAACTTATATTTGAGAAGCTCAATTTGAGACCACTTAATACATTGAAATATCATAAATATTGAAATATTAAAAAGTGTATTTCAAAATATTGAAATTATAAAAATTTATAATACTGAAATTGAGACAAATTAATAAATTCAATGTGTTTTTTTTTGAAATAACTCTCAAATATTATTTTTTGTTTATTTAATGATGAATAAATATGATTGCTTTAGTCAATCATAAAAACTAATTTAAGTTTAAAATAAAGAAAGGATAATTTGATCGTTTTTTAAAATACAATTATTTTTGATGATTTGCAAGAATCTTTGAAAAGAATATATTATAGGTTCTATTTTTGTAAAATTTATCCAAATCATGTATTACATAAATTACGATTAAAACGATGAAAGAACCAAAAAGTGTGTTTTGTGTTTTGTTGTTGCGTGTTGGATGCGGGATCCTGTTATTTCCGAAATCGACAAAAAATTTGGAAATTTAATTTCCGAAATCGAAATTATATTAATGTTTTTAATATTCTTATATCAAAAGGATTAAAGTTCATTAAGAGAAAAACAATTCTTCTTCTTCAATCTATTGGCGCATTTATTTCTACACGCCAATAAGGAAGGGAAAATTATAAGACACCATGGTGTCTTCAAAACGCTAATTTTTGATATTTTTAACAACCCTATATACACATGTTCATGTAAAAACTTTTTTCCAAAATCCTCAGGAATTAAGGGATTTTTGAATTTTAAGAATTTTTTGCGAATTTTTTCGAAAAAAAAATATTTTCAGAACAGCCTTAACGGCTAAGATTTAGGAACAATGTTAAGTATCAAAAAGAAAGGAGGTCTGATATAGACAACATATATCGTTGAAGGTTGAAAAAATCTCTAATATTTGAGCCCAAAATTTCAAATTTTAATTTTTTGAAAAAAGAGGCCACCCGTATGTACGTTTATTTGAGAGGAGGAGGATTATATCTTTGAAAGCGTGAAACATTATGAATATGTTAATTATATAATAATATGTATTATTATAAAAAAGAAAAAATAAAGCACGTTAAAATTTTTCTTTCTTGATTTTTTACAAAATCTACTTAGAATTATGCAAAATATGACTAAATAATTATAAATTTCAAGTTAAATTTTAATTTTGATAAATAATTTAAATTTCAAAATATCAAGTTCAGTTCGACTATGTATGTAGTAATTCCTCAATAAAGTGCCAAAACCCTATTAAAATATATGAACATTTTCAACATTTTAATGTTTTTATTTAAAAATTTGATGGAATATGAGCTTCAAACAATTATTATGTAAATAAAAATAATTAAATATATGTATTTATTCGTATTACAACCGTAGTAAGTCGATTCTTCCTTTCTTCTACTGAGGTTTGAATTTGATTTCGAATTGTAAAGAGATTCAAAGGGAAAATACTAGAGGATAAAAACTACCTCCATGAAAGGGTCATAATGGACTCAAGTTGTATTTTTTGATATTTTTTGCTTTTCGAGCCTAAATAGGTAGCCAAGATAATGCCTAAAAATAAGGTTCTAAATTCTGAAGTTTACATGATCCTCTCGTGTGCACCCTTAACTCACATAAAGTCCATAAATAAGTTGAATCCGAAAATGAATATGTAAGATATGTTAAAATATCTGTTCTGTGACAATTATCGACGCTTCATATTCAAAACAATGTTGTCAAAGCTTATAAATCTGAAAAGGGTAATAAATTTACAGTTTATTACTACTATCACACCATGAAATCAGCACTTTCATTTAGCCATTTCTCAACATATCTCCAAATGCGCTTATTTGCTCAACAACGATCAAGTATAAAGAATTAAAAATACAAAACCACATATGGGCATATATATAGTTAATCGTGCAAGCTATCTCATCACATCAGATAATTTTATTGATCTTTTCATCGTGAATGAAAACTTGGCATGCTGATGGTATTATAGGAAACTAGATATACATCACATGGTATAATCAATAACTCCAAACAGCATCTTTATTGGATCAAAAAATACATTTTATATGAAGAGTTTTCATTTAGAGCGAGTGTTAAACAAAAAGACAAAGGTCAAAGGATAGATTTTAATAATTATGCTTTAAGATTTTTCTCTACGTTTCAAAATAATTTTTCAATATCAAATTGAAATCTCATGATAAGAATTTTTTTGACAAAATTAATCGAATAATATTTACTTATTTAGAGAGAACAGCTTTTCATTTTATTTATAATTTTGAGAAATCTGAAGATTGTTAGAAATTCAATTATTTGAATAGTGTCATAAAATTTGAGAGTAATATAATTTTGTTTTTGTGTATTATCCAACATTAGTACAGTGATCTCGACCAAAACCTAAATTCCGACAGTTATTCTAAAATTGTTTGGCCAATAAAACATTTGAAAAATCGGATGGAATAATTTATTATATAGCATGAATTTATAATAAGAACAGAGAGAGATAGTTCAGGATAATTACTAGCAGCAAAATTAGTTTGAAGAATGAGTGATTCTTCGATATTGTGCCTCAAAATCGCGTCTGGATAAGCGAGTTGCAGGTGAATAAACACCTTCACATTGATCATAGACATGGAGCAAAGGAAGATAGGCTTTTAGAAGCTGCTTGGTGATCTGTCCGTGATACTTCAAACAATGCTGAGCAATGAAGTCCATTGCTTCAGCTGTTGTTGAGAACTTTCCCCCGTTGCATATTTTTGTATCAAACGGGATTATTTGGATCTTAGGGATATTATAAGTGAATGAGGGAACATTCAACTTGAGTGTTGGGCATGGAGGTATTACTGGTGCCTCGATTTTAACAACTGGAACACGTGGAACAAATACAAGTTGAGCTTGGCGAGGATAGAAATCAAACATTGCTTGATTGATTATGATTAATTTTTGTGAACTATTTTTCAACACATTTTTGAACGCATAGCACAGAATTTAATCACAGTAAAGCAAACGCATGAATTTTATTGATAAATCTAATCAACACCAATATACAGCTAATTTACTTTAACTTGAAGTTTTCAAAGTAATTTTTCAAAATTCAAAAGGCTCACAAAATAGTTATTTTATATCGCGCTTATTAAACAGATTATAGTATTAAAATATCAACGACAAAGTTTATTCAAAAATAAATCATCCGAATGTTTACACTCAAAAAATATTATATCGTTGCTAATAAAATCTAACTAATATTGTACACCAATAAAAATTATATATGAAATACGATGATATCAAATTTTATGAGTTATGCTTTCCTCTCAAAATAATTTCGGTCTTGTTTTTTTCAGATAATGTTAATTTTTTCATTGTGCTAATTTCATTTATTTATATTTATCTGCAAAATAATCAAACGCTTGTTTCTAAATTTCTGAAGAATAGAACGTACTTTTGACACACTCCATAAAACCCGAGAACATTTTATCCAGATCCATATTTCACATATTTTTGCAATTGCCCAAAAATTTTTCCTAAATGTTAGTCACCGTTACGGTTTTTTCTTTGGGGGCTCGCAAGCTCGCCCCCAAAGAAAAAACCGTAACGGTGAGCTCACATTTCGGCATAGTTTAAGTCTAGGTTTTGCATTTTAAAATGTTTGTTACCTTATCTTCTTTCAAAAAGTGGCAAAAATTTGTTTGAAATTTGAAAAAGATATTTTTATTTGCATAAATGACATTCAACTAAGCTGTAGCATGATTCTTTTGCATGCTCTAGTTTTTTTCTCAGTTCAATCTCCTTCCATACTCTTGCTTGTACCAGTAAGATCGCACCAAAATTCTCAAAAATTAAGATCTCCAAATTTTATGTCCAACTCCAATTATCAAACGCCCTCATTAACGCCACTCATAGCCATCTTTCATGCATGAGAAATCGTTATTAGAAGATTTTTTACGGCTAATTATCTGATTCAATTCAGATCAATACTCAAAGCCCCATTATTTATTTATAAATCCTTGTTTGTCGCCTATGCGAATAAAAATTCTTTTTATATTTTAAACAATTTTTTTTCACTTTGGAAGGAGAAAGGTGACTAACATTTTATAAATGCAAAAACCGACTAAACTATTTCAAAATTTTACTCCACATTTCAAATCCTCTTGATTTTTCTCCATTTATAAACACATACACTTAGATCCAAAAAATTTCTTTCCATGCCCTCAAATTTTATGTCCATTCTTTTGATCAATTTCAGATTTTGATATTTTGATTAATAAATATAACAATTCATAAATTTTACAATTGAAAAAGCGATTCTCTACTTTAATTTCACAAAATCCCTGATTAATTTCTTTTGTGGAGATAAATGAACTTAAACAATGATGATTTGATAGATTTAGATGTTACCACATCTTCAGGCTCTGGATGCCTCCTACTAATTGATGCGATTACTTTCAATTTCTTCAAGCATTTCTTTTTTCTATATTTAGGATTCTTTTGCTTTTCAATTCTATTTAAATTTACTGGACCATCATCTACAACATCACATACGAATCATTATTTTAGTGACGACATCTTTAGTTCAGATATTGTTCATTCTATTTCCCATATACGTCCTGCAAATAGTTTCATTAATTTATATTTATTCATTCATAAGCCTAATGGTTGTTCATCCACCCAAATTTCAGCAAGTTTAAACTACTCTATAACTCTAAATCGTCGTTCCGACATAATCGATCTCTATTACAATGCGAAAACTTTAGCATTCTCATTTTTAAATAATCAAAGCACTTCCCGAGCAGTTTTACTTCATAAAGAATTAGTAACAGATTTTGATTCTTTTACTCTCAAATATGACATAAATTCTGATCCAAATATAGTAGATACAGCAATAATTACAGAAGAAGCGAATCCTCTTTATATCAAAACTGAAATTACTCTGATAATATTTTTTCAGATCCTTCTTTCTTTTATTTTGATTCACTACATCAAATATATGAGATCATCAAATTTTCAGCTAATTAATAGAGCAACCCTTGCCCTTAGCATCGTTGCTTTATTTGCTTTTGATCCTTTCTTTATTTTACAAATCATGAGACCCCATATGGTATTCGTGATAATGCAACAACTGTTCAAAATACTTTACAAGTCATATATTTTTGTTTACTCGCTTGAAGTATTTGAATTCATTAGATATCAGAACCAGAACAAACAACGAATGTATCCAATCTTAAAGATAATACTGTTCCTTATCAAAATAACCTTAGACATTTACATTACGTCATGCAAATTGAGTTCAAATTTAATTGCAAAAACAGATTTAGAAAATCCAAGTGAAGAATTGATAGGATTATCCAGGATACTAACGTACATATTTCAAATATGGAGTATTGTTTTATTTATCCAAATTTTGAAAAATAACCCAAAGATTCAACACATTGCTGCCATGATTTTCGGGTTTTTGCTTTTTATTTCTTTCAAAATAGATGATATCAATGAGCGATTCACATTAATTCAATCCAATATTTTAGTTTATATAACGCATTTCTTTTTCATTGTTTCATGTAATTTCTTAACCCTCCCAGCATCTGATTTGAACATATTTATTAGCCTGTTTTCATCTAAAAACCAAGAACTCGGAAATGATTTCGTAGCGAATTCTATTAACCCAGACTTTGACTCCAGTACTTCGGATTCTGTAGAATAATTCAAAAATACAATACTTCTAATATTGCGTCTCACTAATTTTTCAAAAAACATTCATTCGCAATATTTTTAAAGCTGTCTTCATCTTTTCAGTCCTATTGTATATATTTGATAGAAATATATTGATTTCATCAATAATTCCCATTCAATGTTTAGTAAATAGATTATTTTTTCTAATCTAATAATATTTTCATTGTTTTTATGCTAATATGATAGTTTCTCATATATAAAATCAGGATATTGAAAGGTAAACTGAGTGTACTTTAATGACATCATCATTCAATTTAACCAATGGAAAAGAGATACATTTAAAAAGCTTTTATCAACTGATTACTATGTATCTGAGTTTACCAATGAAACTTAATAACTATCATCCAATAGATCGCTGCAGAATAGATCAATTTTTAGGATAATGAGGATTTATCAACTTATAAACATGAAATTTTGGAAGTGGTATTAAAGCACAAAATAAATTGGCGTGTTTTAGTACCATGATTCTATTTAGGGTTGTTAAAAATATCAAAAATTAGCGTTTTGAAGACACCATGGTGTCTTATAATTTTCCCTTCCTTATTGGCGTGTAGAAATAAATGCGCCAATAGATTGAAGAAGAAGAATTGTTTTTCTCTTAATGAACTTTAATCCTTTTGATATAAGAATATTAAAAACATTAATATAATTTCGATTTCGGAAATTAGGGCGCGTAAAGGGTTGGCGTCCTAAGGCGTCCTGATGTAAACTATTCAATTTTTGAGAAGTTTACACCATAATTGAATAGTTTATGGCGTCCTGAGAGGAGATTTCAATGGGTATGGCGTCCTAAAAAAAATAGAAGAAAATGATTTTTTCTCGATTTTTCTAGAAATTGAATTTTTTAAAAAAGAAAAAAATCAAAACGTATACATGCAAGAAAGACTATAAATGAAGATTTTTCTATTTTTTTTCATTCTAAAACATCTTTTTTTGGATAATTTTTTTTTAATAAATATGTAAGAAAGATTGAAGAAAAAGTAAATTTACTTTAAGAAAATTCGTTTTACATGATGTAAGACCCATAACAACTATAAATATTCAATTATTTAAAATAAAAAAAGAAAAACAGATTAAATGTATCTCACATCAAAATCCATTGACCTAAGGATGTTAAGTTTCTGTTTTTAAAAGTTGATATTTTTTTTTTTTAATTTTAAGAAAATTAATAGCATGTTATTAGACAATCGGAGTGTAATGATATTGACTAAACAGAAATGAGAGAATAGAGATATAATTTTGATAAGCAATATTGCGAACAAATTCTGAAGTAAAATCGCGATCAATAATTGAAAATTACGATCATGTACTGAAAAATGACGATCGAATTGAATGAATAGAATTATATCTAAGAAAAAATAAATTGTATTTAGAAGATGAACAAAGAAAGGTGTATGCTAAAAATCATTTAACAATAAATGGAAATAAAACGAAATTGTTAAAAGAAAAAAATGAAAATTGTTAAATAATATATTATTTTTTAGTCATAAGAATAAAAATATAGTAGTTATAAAAGGAATTAGACTTCATATATCAATTCTTTTTCTCTGTAGATGTGGAACGTTTGCTTTTCGATCTCTTTCGATGAACTTGAAAATATAAGTTATTATCGCTGAGAATCCTTTCCGAAATAGGAGCTTTACGTTTAGGAGGATTGTCGGATGAATTTTGTTTTTTATTGTTTGATTTTGTTGTTATGGAAGATTTTTTCTTATTTTTTTCAGAATTTTGCTTGCTATTAACTGAAACTTGTTTTGACGGCCCAACAATAGCATTTGTAGTAGGAAGAATTCCCAATAACGAGCGCATTTTCGATAATTGTTTTTCAATATGATCAAGAAGGTCCAGCTTATGTTCTAGATTACTAGACATTTGATTTGTAGAAGGATGGTTTTGATTTTCTGGTTCTAAATCTGTAGAGTCTGCAATATTTGAATTTTCGGAGCGAATTGGAGCATCTGAACCTTGATTTGTATCGGCTTGCTCAAAATTAGTTTGAATTGGAGTGGATGAATTAAAATCTGGATGATTTAATGTTTCATTAAATAATGCCATAATTTTTTCTCTTTTTTCATTAATAAACTTAGTGATCATTGTATCTTTATCTGTTAGATCGATCGATTTGAGTATATCTGCATCATGAACTGGAATATTTTCGAACAATGAACTCGATTCTATGGAACCATATGGAGAAA